TAAGGCATAAAACACACATACACACATTTTTATTTTTTAGTTTACTAGGTATTTGCAATAAAAGTTGAAAAATCACATTACTCTCAGGTATATATCACTTTTGTGTGTGTGTGTGTGGACTATATTACCAAATTGGAATGAGTTATAAGCAAAATATTGTTTTGGCTTATTATCATCACATTAGTAATCAAGCTTCATCTCTTTATATATGTTTATTATACTTAACTTTTGAGTGATTATTGTATCTTTTATCACTGTATTATATTTTTAACTTGTTTTTTTTTCCTATGGAAATTGAGGCTTGTTGGTCAAATAGAAACACTGTAAATCAGTATTAATGAGTTACATTAGTTTAGAATCATCTTTTAATAACCTGTGGGATTTTTTTCTTACATTCTGGCAATTTTGTATGTAAGCTGGCTATAAAGTTTTATGGAGTTTATTACTGTTGTGGAAAATCTTAGGAGTTATTATTTACTTGTAAGATTAATATTTTGAAAGTTAATAATTTTTCCTGCATTTACACACAAATAGAGGATTTGAGATAACTGTAATAAACTTGGGCAAGTTTGTAGAATGTACTTCAATAACCAAACTAGAAACTTTACAACTCAGTTTTTTTGTGTCAAATTGAGTTAATATGTGCGATCTATTTTTGTTTAAATTAGATTGATGAATTTAAAACTGTTTACATCACTTGGAAATACCAGTTGTATTCTTTATCCTCACTGCACAGCTACTGACTATGGTCATCAGCCATCTTAATAATATAAGAAAACATTTGTATAACAGCTATTTTATAAAATAATAATCTGAAAATAAAGGTGTGATATTAGTATTTTATTATTTTGTTTGTATTTTAATGTCATAAATCTATTTTAATATATAAAAATTGATTGTCCCTTTATTTTTTTGTTTCATAATTAGATGATAAATGCTTGTTCATATTTTTGTGTTAAATTGTATTTCTGTCATATTATATTTGTTCTTTAAAAAACAAGTTTCAGATCAGGTAGACTTACCTCTAATATAATGAAAGCTGTTCCTCCTTGTCAATGAAATGTGTCACTCAAAGTTTTGAATATCCTTGATGCAGTGTTAAGAGTATATGTCAATTTACCCAGAATTCTCCACTCTTTTACTTATTACACATGCATTAGGTGTAAATATCTAAACTTTTCTCTCCTGCCATATACCCCGGTAGCACAGCGGTAAGTCTGAAGGCTTATAACACTACAAACTGGGTTTCATTACCCATAAATGGCACAGCACAGATAGCTCATTGTGTAGCTTTATGCTTAACAACAACCAAAACTCCTACCATAATTGAGATTTTCTTGTTGCCAATCATGCTGTTATCTTTCTTTGCTCACTGTGAATTCTGATGTCAGTGTTACCTATTGAGGCAAATATTTCTACAAATATTGGAAATTCTACAACATCTTTGAAGCCTTGCTCATGTAGTCTTCGTCTCTTGTGCATGGAAATTTCATAGTGGCATTGTTGGCCCTTATAGCTCAAATAATATTCAGACCATTAATTCTGATTGTCTAATGGTGTACTTCATGAGTTTCCTGCTTTTTTAATTTGTCTTTTTTCTTGAGTATGCTCTATTTTAAACCTTGAACTAATATATCTTGAGTCTGAGGGTACTAATGTCATGTTGTACAATTTAATTCTTCTCCTGATTTTTTGGTCATTGATGAAGCTCTTAGAAATAATCCAAATGTTAATAACTTTTAGCAGAGTCATCTTCTGGTACTTATATTGCATTTCAAGTTCTTGATTCTCAATACAACCTATTGTAAGTTTTCTACCTTGTATGTCTCATTTGAGACTTATATTTTTCAGATTAATTATTGGATACCAGGTACTCCCCTCCTGATTTCTTTAGTCAGGATCATTTTTTTACCTTGCAGGCTTTCTTGGCTGTGGCTCTCACTGATGTAGTTTCTGTTACCACATGGCTCTTATGCTCCCCTTATACTTTAGTCCATGTTACTGTGTTTAAAGATACTCTGACCCAATCCACACACACAATTTTTCAGCTGACCTCAGATGAGCTCTCAGCTGCAACTGGTGACAGTTTGAGCATTTCAGCCTACTTCTGGTAGTCATTCCTTTTGAAATGACCAGCATATAATGCTTGTTCTCTTGTCTTGCCTCCCTCATCGACATCACCTACTTCTACTTGTGTTTTTTTGTACTGCCATACAACCTAATGTACATGTGGGTAAGGTGAGTCTTCTTGACCTGCTTAATGACTTTTCTCTTCTGG